GCAGGGTGAAGAGTGGTATATAACATATGTTCTGTATCTCAAAAACTAGAACGAATAGGGGAAAACTGGTGCCATTTTCAGAATCAGCAGGTCAAATATACCCAGAAGCTAGTCTAGCATTTGAGGCACCAAAATGTGTGGTGGCTCGTGAAATTGTTGCAATGGCCACACAGAATCCACAGACCATACTCAGTAAGAAGTCACCGAGCACAACTTGGAATCAGGATCAACAGGCTCCAACCCAGGATCAGAAAGCATGGACAAGGCCTGCCAGGCTCCCTGCCATGGCGAGCCTAGGGCTGTAAGGAAGAACAGAGTGGACCACCAGATTTGTCTTCTCATCTGGGCCTGAAGGAAGGTTGGGAACTCTCAAGGGCATATTTTCCCTAAGTCCTGCTACCTCCTCACCCCTTTGTGGGGAAAACTTATGCCTGTGTGGAGTTGGTTGCATATGCAAGAGGGCTTTCCAAAAACTGGTGGAAACATTCCATTAGCTTTTAATTCTTTTTTTGTTGTTTTCAGCTTCTGACCTCATTAGGGTCAGAACTGACCAATCCCCTCTTTGTGAGCAGCTCCTCTTTGGTAAGATGGAGATACTGAATTCGAGTAGTTGGATATTATGATGTAATTTACATAAGTATATCGACCAATCCCTGCCAAGCACTGTAGACCAACTAACTATAGGGCAGACAGTAGCCCAAGGCCAGATAAAAGTATCAACCCACAGATTGTGTACATATGCCCCAGTCAACCTGGACAAGAGTAACAAATCCTCTGGGGTTGAAAACTAGGGTAAAGGTAACTCTTCAGAGCTTGGGATGGGATCCGTTTTTCTCCATTTCCCAATTTTATTAAGTCATTTGCAAAGAAGCAGCCGTGAAAACCCCTGAAACTTTAAGGACACGTTAAATCACGCAGTGTGGCTGGACCACATAGTGCGAGGTTAGGGAGCTGGGGGAGAAGGTGGCAGTTGAGGAGTGCAGGCCCAGCTGGAACCAGGCCTGGAGAAACGCGTGTGTGTCTACGGTGATGGGAAGGGACACGGAATTGTTTGGTGAGTTTGGCCAAGAAAGGAAGCGGGGGTGGGGGTGGGGACTCTGGAAAGTTAGAAGGGGCAGAACAGTGTTGGGCTAAAGCAGGGGTCCTCAAACTAGGGCTCGCGGGCCACATGCAGCCCACTGAGGACATTTATCTGGCCCGCCAGGTGTTTCTGTCCCGTTTTTTTTACTTCAAAATAAGATATGTGTAGTGTGCATAGGAATTTGTTCATAGTTTTTTTTTAGAAAACTATAGTCCAGCCCACCAACGGGTCTGAGGGACAGTGAACTGGCCCCGTGTTTAAAAAGTTTGAGGACCCCTGGGCTAAAGGGTTTAAACCTTGGCCAATTTCCAGCCCAAGTGTCTCTGGAGGCTTTGGATTTCAAGATCTACTCTTCTCCCTTTGCCAAGGTTTGGGTTCCTTTCCGTTCCGGACCCGGAAAGAGCTGCAGAGTCGGAAGGGCATGAGTGAAGCCTTCACCCTGGCTGACCTCAAACAGCTGCCCGAGCTGAACCCACCGGTGCTGATGCCTAACGGGAATGTGGGCACACCCCTACATGTCTTTTTGGAGTTCATCCGGGCCTGCCGCCTGCCCCCCCGAATCATCACCCAGCTGCAGCTCCAGTTCCCCAAGACAGGTTCCTCCCGGCGTTACGGCAATGTGCCTTTCCAGTACGAGGACTC